ATAGAAGACCTCATCCAATGAGGGTACTAAAAGCTTGTGAAAATCTGATTCTGATGTTACCCAGATGCAAAGTGTTAACCTTTCTTAGAGATGAAAGCTGAAGCCCTGAGCAAGGGTCAAAACAAACAGGATCCACTACTGGGTTAATAGCAGACTCCTGGTGTCAAATGCTCACTTTGCTGTGACCTCGTTCCCAAATGTAGAATGAGTACAACAGTTCCCTTGCCTTTTATTCTGTCACTGGGACAAAGATGGCCTAGAAATAGACCAAGATAAAAGTATTGTGGTGTCAACTTACTTTAAAATGCTGTAACATGAACAGCAATAATCCTTAATTCTATATCCTTAATTTTTCTGGGTTTTATTTGTTGTCATTCAGATTGTGTTAAGCTAAATTGATTAATATACACAGATTTTATTTTTAATCTGAAGTTATCTTTTGCTTTAACTCTGGCACTTTGCTCTCTGGAAATACTTGTGAAATATGTAATTTAACACACTCCCTGTTCATCTGCATTTGTTGTGTTCAAGAGTATATAAATGCCTTAAACAACTTACTCATCCCACTTTATTTGTTCTGTGACTATTTTTCACCACATGCCAGTTAATATTTGGGAACTAATTGAAAGGTATATACTGAATATGTATTATTTTAAAGATGAATCTGGGGTGTCCATGGCTACAATCTATAACAATATGCAACGTGTCCTTATTCAAGCCTAAATGTTTGATAATTTCTCTTACTTATCATACATTTCCTCAAGAAGGCTATCCTGACATCCAGAGTAAAAAGAGGCCCATATATTACAGTAAGGAGATACCTCTAAATAAATTAACACTATTTCTCTTTCAAAGGCTAAATAACATAACTTGAATCTGGGCTGAATCTCTGAAAAGCACAAGGACCAAAAACTAGTTGACAGATTCTTATGGCTGTGCTCTTCTTGAGTAAAGGTCAAGGCTCTGAATATATGCTCTTTTGCTGTTTTATTTATTTTTTACTGTCAAAAAAATAGAAAATTATTTAATGTTTCGACTCCTGGGTGTCATCAAGCCCTCTGTGCAAAGCACATCCAATTAAAGCATATTGCTATGGCACAAGACAGATCCTGGACCTGCCTCCATAGAGGCCATGTTGAGTTGGCTTGCATGCATCAGAGAGGGCACAGTGAGATTACTCTCACCAGTTTCCTTCTCAGACTGTTCAATACTCCTCAGTCTGCCCACATCCTCCTGTAGTTCAGCCACCAAGCAGAGCAGTTAATCTATCTGGTTGCACCTCTCACTTGCAACTACACTCCATCCCCAGACCACACTGGTCAGGACTAACTCCACTACATCAATGTCTATCTCATACTGGGGTTCTCAAAGCGTGTCAGATGCAATCTGACACCATGAACAGCAGCGCATACTTTCTCATATATGTTGACTGCACCCTTGCTAATGCAGTCCAGGATATGAGAGTGCTCTGCCTGGGTTTACTGCTGCCTAGGGTCAGCCTAGTGATCCCAGAGCTCTCAGAACCATTATTGCAGAGAAGTTCACCAGCTGGTCAGCCTCAGCCTCTGCTGTTGCCTCCCAGTTGCAGGACTTCACATTCATTTTCATGGGGTTCCTGTCAGACAATTTGTCTCTGCAGAAGCCCTAAATTCTACCAGATTGATTGCTCCATGGATATTTTGTGTCTTCTGCAAGCATGATGAGAGTGAAACCTGCACCACTATTCAGGCTATTAATGAAGAATATTAAATATTACTGGTCTTGGTACTTCTCCCTGAGAGAAACTACAGCTTTCTGGTCATTAGCTGGGCTCTGTATTGTGGATCACAACAGTGAGACCAGCAGTCCAGGCTGTTTTCAGCACACACTGTGGACTGCTTATTTGGTTTATGTATCACCAACCTGGCAACAACGATCCTATGAAAGCTGCATCAAAGGACTTTCTGAAGTCTACCATCTTCTCATCAAGGCTATCACATTGGATAGGCATGATTTGCATGGACTTGGATTTTCCCAAACTTGTTAAATAATGAGTCTGTGATCTAGAGCAACCTCTATTCTACGGTTCACATAGCGGTTGTTAAAATAATAATAATAAAATGCTACTTACCTGCCTCACATGATTATTATGATATTTCTAAACTAATAATTTCACTTTGAAATAAGAAAGAAGTAAAATAAAACTGCTATAAGTGACTAAGGCCTCCAATGGATGTGTATGACACTCAGATTCCACATTACAAGCTTGAGGTTTGATTTTGCCACCTCTATGTTTATTAACTCTGATAATTTCTTATCATTTCTTCACACTATCAGACATATTGGTCATCTGATACCCATATAAATACACCTCTTATAAGAGAAGCCATTTCTCCATTTGTAAAGTGTCAAACAAATATCAATAAGCTGAATATTTTGAACATATTAATTGCCTATGCCTCTCTCCTTTTAATATGAAATTTGTTGACAAAATATTCTTCCTTCTTCAAATGTTACTAGGATATTTGCTAGGATATTTTGCACATTGCACAAAACACAGCAAAGTGCTACGCACCGTTGAGCAGAAGCCTGAAATAGCTTGCATGGCTAATTTAGACAGTTTCTTTGATCTTGAGATGAGTTTGTGAGACATAGGATTCCAGTATCGTGTAGTAAACAGAATGGATGAAATATTGAGAAAATTTAGTGTGTTAGTACAGAAGTACTGGTACTAACTTCACTTTGCATGTGATTGAAGAAAGAGGTAACATCCAATATATCATCATATTGCTTCTGCTTAATATTCACACATCTGTGAAGTAAAACTTTTTTCTGCTTGAGAATTAGATCAACTTTTGATTTCTTTGTCTGACATCATAATATTGAAATATCAGGTAAATAACCATGAAAAATATTATTACTGTTTATACTGATAATGGCTGATTTGTGCTAGAAAACAGAAGAAAACTAATTGTTTATAATATTTCATTTTCAACAATTAAAAAAAAACCAAACAAACAAAACAAAACACCAAAACTGCTCCATTCAGAAGCAAACAAAAAATGTTAACAAAAACTAATAAGTTTGCAATTGAAAAATCCATGTATATTTAGCAGGTATAGCAGTCTCCAGAATACCCAGGCAATAGTCACAAGGTAACTAGGATGAGATTTTTCACCTTCTAGGTATTTACACCACTCAAAATTGGCAGCTGGCAAAGATATGTATAAATCATATGGAATCTTGCTTATTAGTTGCTTCCTTTTATCAGCAATTGGATAATGACAAAGAACTCCTAGAAGTCTCAGGGTTTTTTTAGTTTAAAATCTTGCTAGGCTTCATCTTTTTCAGTAGCCACTACCAAACTCCTTTTAGGCCTCAGGTTTTTTCATTTCAAGATTTGGAGAAAATAATCTGCCTATAATTAATAGAAGGGTTTCCTAAATGCAGCTATAAATCAACAAATCACTGAAGGAATGCTTTCATTGTTCCAGAAAAATTAAACATTAAACACTCACAGAGAGTAAAATTCTTAGTTGAAAGTTTGAAAAATAACTACTTGTGTAAACATTATTCTCAGTTTGAATCAAGAATATGCTACTTTAAGATTCTTTCTCCTTTATGATCTAAAAAGAGCTTTTAGAGAATATTAGTCGACTTTATCCAATACAATTGAGAATCTGTGATGAGTTCTAGTTCTTTTATTTTATGTAACAACTACTGTATGAGTAATAACCTAGCTTGGTTTGGCTAGCAGTAGACCAAGGAGACAAACATCCATTCAAGTTTCTAATAATCAGTTAAGCAAATGGTGATCCAAAATGAATACAGTCACTGAAGAGAATTTAGCTTCTCTGTTACGCAGTATTATGTGGTATAGCTTCTCTATTATCCAGTCACTATGCTAGTAGCTCTACATTTTGAGCAATTTTCAAACTGTCAGGTATTGTAACATTATGAACTGTTTATTTTGCAGTGACGCTGATGTTTTCATTCAAAGTTTTTTACAGTATCATATCTTTTCTTTGTCTCTGATAAATAAGTATCTGTTATGGATACTCCACCCTCACCACCTCTCTTTCTTTCTTGTTCCCTTTCTCTCTCACCCTTTTCTTCTTTTTCCAGGCTAATGCTCCAGGTTTTTTAGAAGCTGTTGAAAGAGCGAATTTGATTTTCACTGAGAAATCAGTCTTTGAGTAAAATGCAGATCTGACAAACCGAAAACCATCCTGCCTTTATCTTGTCTGCAAGTTCCTACTAGCTACAGAAAAGTAGATTTTTTTGACAGTTAGCAGGAAAAAAAAAAGCGACAGGGAAAAATACAATTCTAAGTAAAACTGAGATACTGAAGCCCATGCATATTAAGAATCTAAGACTATAAGGATGGACACTGTGCTTCAATGCAATGGTGCCTTCCACGTATTTCCATTAAGAAGTTGTCTCAAGATTTTTTAAATTTTTTTCATGTGTGTGCATAATTTCTGTACTTTATGATGGTAGCACTGCTGTCACCTCAGCTCTCATCACATGAAGGATAACATAGGACTCCGTCAGAGACCATTTTGGAACAACCAAGGCTTCTATCTATCATCCACAATTGTCTCCCATGAGAAATGCAGTAGGAAGTAAGGGTTTTTTAATTAGCACCCAAATTTAGTTTTCTTTCGCCGGTTTTCTTCTACATTAGTAGATTACTATTTACCTATATTTTCTTGATCACTGAATATATGCACTATGTCCATATTTTATATTTATGTTTTATAATAATTTGCTATTACTTTCAGTGAGTACTTTTAATTGTCTAAAAAGGAAGAGGAATCAGAACGTGATGGCATCAAATCTACAAAATAACATCATGAACAGATGAAGTTAAAGATACGTTTAAGAATTCCACAAGGGAAACTAAAGTGCTCTACAATGTCTTAGAAGCTGTATCTTTAACTTATGTTTGTTGCTAGAAATAAACAGACTTTGCAAATTTAGTGTGAAATGAACCTCAAAATGTGTAAGACTTCACTTACTCAGAGTTGAGGCTGATCAGTTCTTCCACAGCTGGTGCCGACATTCTGTCAGTAAAATTCTTAACTGGATTGTAAAGGGCAAGCAAAGCAGTTGCTTTTTACTCCCACCTGGAACAAAATACTGTATCAGTTGCTTTTTTTTCACTGTCTTCCAAGTGCAATAAGACATCCATTACATTTTCTTTGCCCCTCACATTAAGGGTGCATCAGAATACCTATACAAAGGATGGAAGCAAAAACTATTACAAACTCTGAATTTGGAAAAAAGAAATAGTACTCTAAGATCAAAATGAAATTGAATCTTTGCTATTTAGATACCTACATTAAATTGCCTTGAAACACTTCTATTTGCTACTACTAGATGTTCTGACTTTAATTTCTTCATCATCAACATTTAGAAATGCATACCTTATGTGAATAAATATATATTTGAATAAATATATACTAAATAAATTATTACTTAGAGCATTTATTTATACTGTAATTTGTATTTATTTGTATTTGTATTTATATTGTAATTTGTTTCATTTTGATCTTAGAGTACTATTTATTTTTTCCAAATGTCTTCATTTTATTATGGATTATAGTCTTAAATATTATGACAAATTATTTCCAAAACAAAAGGTTAATGAAAAAGTCTCTCAATTCTAAATTACTCTTTATACCTTTGAAAGGAAATGCAGACAGAAAGAAGTCCCAGCTGACTACAAGAGGGACAAATATTATATCAATCTACAAAAAGATGTGAAAAAGAAGATTCAGAAGACCGTAGCGCAACCAGTTTCACTTTAGTTCCTGGGAAAAATAATAGGGTATGTCCTCATGAAAGCTATTTGCAGGCATAAGAAGGACAAGCAATGGCAGCATGGCAGCAGGCAGATGCGTGGCAGCAGAAGGCTACATGGCAGCATGATGACAACCCAACAAAAATCGGTGTCCTCTGCTTCTCCTGAGCTTCTAGCACCTGGTAGAACCAATGCAGTCACACAGAAAGAGCTCCTGTGCAAGCATATGATCAACCAAGTTTCTCACTGTTTGAAGGGATGTTCCTGGAGGTGGAGAGTAGTTGCAAGCAAGCCTGTGAGAAGTGTGACCAGACAGATAAACTGCTCTGCTTGGTGGCTGAGCTACAGGAGGATGTGGGCAGACTGAGGAGTACTGAACAGAAGTACACAGATGAACGCAGTCTCACTGTGCCATCTCTGATGCATGCAAGCCAGCTCAACATGGCCACTATGGAGACAGGTCCAGGATGTTTTGTGCCATGAAGAAGGCAGTGTTAAAAGTAATAAGGAGGTGTGGAAGAGACTATGCATTGTGCCATAAGGAAACCTCTCCTTTTCCTTTGTAAGATACCCTCACAGAATAGGTATGAGGCCCAGAATATACTGGACAAAACGGATAACGAGATAGAGGAGGAACCTATGTAAGCAGTCTCAATAAGGTCAGAAAGACCAACCCTTCACAACAAGACCTGCAGTAAGACCAGTGTAAAGAGCGAGTTACGGTCATTGGTTATTCCCTCCTGTGCAAAACAGAAGCACCTATTTGCACACCAGACTTCTTCTCAGGGATGTGTAAGAGGCATTTGGATAATGCCCTTGGTAACATGCTCTAACTTCTGGTCATGTAGTTGGACTGAGATTATTCTATTCTATCTATGAAAAGCCAACACAGATTTATCAAACTCTGCTTGACCAAACAGATTGCTTCCCAATATAACAATAAATTTGGTGGATGAAATGAGAGCTGTGAAATCTGCATATTTTTCCAAGGATTTTAAAAAAAAGTTAATAAAAATAATTAAATACAAAACTGCATTTCTTAAAAATCTCTTCTCTAATGATATGTATTGAGATTTACAGCTTCCATGGATGTGTTTATCTGAAGGGATAGAGACATATGAAGATATGTATGTGTGGAAAAGCACAGTGGGAAAAGCTGTCATTCACTACATCTATATAACATTTAAATGTTCAGTAATTTTATTATGTCTTGTGACCAATCTAAAAGGACACCAAGCAAACACGAAGGCAAATCATCATCATATTACAGGTCTCAGCTCTATTACAACACAATGAATGCATTTCTACAGCAGGCATAATTTTTCACAAACTCATTGCTTTAAAACAACTTGCATGCTCTAGTAGCATTATGGACAGAACAGCAATGTTCAGGAAATCACAGGTGGATTATAAAAGTTTCAGGTCTTTATCCATCAACATTCATTTCTCTACAGGGTATATAGCTTATGAATCAATGACTGGTCATAATAAGGTCAGACAAGAAGAAGGATTAATAGTATATAGTTAGTTATTCAATGCTGTATGCACATATTGGTTGGAGAGACACTGCACATCTGACAAATTTATGACCCTTCATTTACAGCGTAAACATATACAAGTACTAAACTATGTTCTATGCTAATGTTATTTTGTGTATTAATGGTATTTTATTGAAGGCAAATTTCACATCTTTATTTCATCATAAAATAAATGTGTTCTAAACTCTAAAATATTTCACTTTTCCTGTACTCTAGTTGTTCAAATAATTCATTAATTATAAACAATTGAAATACTCCTATAAAATTAATATGATGTAACTTCCTAACAGCTGAAAGCTCCTCTTACTATATTCTAAATCTAATGTAAAGAATCAAATTCCTCATGTCAGCCACAGGACTTTAATATAATTTCAAGAAACGTAAAGTCTACATTATTCCATAAACACTCTGCAGTTTCAGACTGACACAATTGTAAACTCTCTCTCTAAGAAACCATTTTCTAGTTGTTCCTTTAGTCCGAGCTTTAGTGGAAGTTATTCATACATAAATCCTCTTAGGAACAGACAGTTTTAATTCAATATGCCTACAGATTTGATCACAAATAGCTATCTAGAACAAAACTGAACTAGAACTTTTTTCAAACTCTTGTAATATTTTTGAATTTCAAAACATTTATTCACAGGAAGCATTCCAAAAGTGTCTGAAGATTTTGTCAGAAACCTGACAATCTTTCCAAAACAAAAGTACAGGCAAATCTAAGTATAAAATAAAAATATAAGTAATTTAGGCTTATTAAAATACATTTACACTGCAAAGATAAATAAGTGAAATGGTAAAGAGAGAATTAAATCTCTACAAAGTGATTCAATGATAAATTCTTTTTGTTTCATATATGCTCACATATCTTGCAACCAATTAATATTTTCTTATCAGAAATTATTCTAATGGTAAATTTTCAAACAGCTCTAGTTTGGAATTCTCCAAGGTAGAGGAGCACAGGAGACTTATGACAATTTACTGATCAGTGAATCATCAGCAGAAGCCAAGAGGTAGAAATCTCTTCTGTTACTGCTAACTTGAAACTGGAAAACTTGTGCAGCAGTATCATGAAATTTTTCTCCCACACTTTGACTGCTGTAGGGAAACAAACTGGGTGCACATATTCGATTTCAGTGAAACAAGTGCTGCTTGCTCTCAGAATATCTTTTCTTTGTAAAATTTTTATAATTTCTTTCAATATATTTCATCTTTTCCTATGCCTTTTCTTGGCCTTTCTCCTCCTCTTCATTCCCAGAACTGTTTCCCTTTCCCTTAGTTCCAGCTCTACACATTTCAGTTTCAGCAAATCTATGAACATTTTGTACACATTCTTGCCAATAAACCCAGCAGTTGTTTTTTTTTCTTTACTAATAGGGATGCAGTTGGCACAAAGTTATTTTTGCCTGTATTTTGCACTTGTTATCAGTTGGGAACAGAAGGAAACATCACTTTGGCTCCTGAAAGAAAGCAACAGATAAGCATGATGCTTTGGGCTGTCTGCTACTTCTGTTAGCCACCAGAGGAGCACTGTGCATTATTGTCTCTCTCTTCTATTATGTACTCTGAAATTCCCTGCCAGGAGGGCTAAAACATTTACATTTTCTCAGAAAATGGACTGAGAAAGTGAGATGCCAATATATTTGACAGTGTTAGAAAAAGGTTAAGCTTCAGCTTCGACATCTACATATATGCTTCTGGCCACGATGTATTCAGTTCTGGCCTATGACACTACTGCACAAAGACACTAGCTAGACACTAAATGAAAAGTCACAAGGAGAAGTAATATCTCTTATTAGATCAGTTGTTAGAAAAAATTACAAGAAGCTGGCACAGAAGTCCTTATTTAAAACAATAAAGGGATGAAGATTTCAGTTAGGCTATATGCCACATGGAATACTGTTACTATACCTTCCTTGAAAATTGGTTATTAAAATCACAAGACATAATAGGAAATCCTGCCTCAAATATCACAGAAAAAATACACCAGTGACTGTTTCCAACTTAGGAATGTTTGTGTGATACTCATGACTTCTGAAAAAGATAAAATACTACCCAAGTTTTTCTTAGTAGTGTAAATTAGATAAAAAGGAAAATTATTTATAAAAATGGTACAATACTCTTTCAGCTTCTATAAATAACACAGAGTTTAGTAAGCTTTTTCTTATTGCTTTGGACAGAAATGGTGGCCATGTGGGCTGTTGACAGTTCCCTTTTAAAAAATGTTCTTGTTCTATATCCCTTAATTCACACGTGGGATATGACCCTACATTATACAGTCTTGTCCATTTTAACAACTCCTCCACATTTATGGTTACATAAGCCTTTCTAACTCTTGACATTTCATTTCTTTTGCATCTTTTACCTGCATTTGTGATCTTCAGATATATTTATGTGGAGAAAGTTCATGTTTCTATTATCTATGGATAGGCCAACATCAAAATAATAGAACAAATAACATCAAATTAATAAAAAAAATTATATGAACACATCTTACTTTAAATGTATGTGACATCCTTTAAGAGTAATTTTTGTTTTCCCAGTGATGGAATATTTATTTCTTTTTATGCATTTGAGAGCTTCATTTCTTTCTTTAGTTAAATCTGTCAAAATATTCACCATTGAATAATTTCCTACAGACATAGTAATACAATTTACTAACAAAGTAAAACAAACAAAAGAAGAGAGAAAAATAAAAGGAAAAGCATGTTTTCAAATGAAACCCTTTTAGTTCTTTAAGGTTTGTGTAGATTAAGTTTATAATTTTTTATCACTAGTGTTGTAACTG